GGAGAGTTCAGGTGGCATCCTGCTTTCATCCGAACTCTTCCGTTTCTGTGCCCATGCCTCAAACTCCCCAGACTCGAAAACCGTGGTTTCTGGCTGGGATCGCTGGCTCATGCCTGTAATCCCAGTACTTTGGGATACTGACGCAGGTGGATCACTTGAGGTCAGGAGTTTGAGACCAGCCTGGGCAACATGACGAAACCCCAACTCTACTGAAAATACAAAAATTAGCCAGGCGTGGTGGTGGGCATCTGTAGTCCCAGCTACTTGGGAGGCTGAGAAAGGCGAATCATTTGAACTCGGGACATGGAGGTTGCAGTGAGCCAAGATTGTGCCACTGAACTCTAGACTGGGCAACAGAGCAAGCCTCTGTCTCAAAAACAAAACAAAACAAAACAAAATTGTGGCTTCTGACCTCCCTAGAACTGAAGGCAGGAAAAAGAGAGCACTGAGAGAGCAGAACAATCTTGTCTGTCTGTTCTCTAGTGTACATTAGCAGAGGCAAGTGTTTAGAGCTAATGCCTCCCCTGTGGGCACATTGTTCAAGTCTTGAAGACCCAGAAGCATCATCTGGCCAACTATATCAGGCCGGTGTTCAACAGGGGCCCCATGTGGCAGCTAGAAGCATCAGCGCAGAGAATTGCTCAGATGCTAGTCCTCTCTGATTGGCTGAGGAGGCCAGGCCGCCCACTCTACTCATTAGGTACAGAGCCCTGGGAGTCCTGGTCAACCCGGAAGGCTCTAAGAGGGACGTGAACATAGGTTGTCCTGCCAGCCAGGCAGCCAAGGGTGCAAGTAATGAACTGAGAGAAGAAATGAGCTGTGATGATATTTGCCCTTTTCGTCTTCATTCCGCAAATGTCATCATATGTTAATCCCCCCCTTTTCTAACTAATGGCAAAGGGATAAAGTGACTTGGCTGCAATCCCACAATTAGTAAATGATAAAGTCCCGACTGGAAAATGGTTCTTGCAGTTCTAAAGGCCGTGAGCTTTCCTTTGAACCTCCCTAGAGATGAATCCCTACATGCTGGAGAAGAGAACAACGAAGTTAAAAGGAAGGGCAAAGGTGACATATAAATTAAAGATTTTAAAGATATGCGATGCCTCTTTAACCTCCAGCAGAGGAAAAAGCATCTGGAGTCTGTGCTCTTAGCTGGGAGGGGATGCAGGGGTCCTTTATCTGGAGAAGCAGGGCAAAGAAGAGACTCAGTTGTTCTCCACAGGGGTCCTTTACTGTCATTTTTAATGTCTTTTTACACTGCAGGGCTTCGGAGCTAACCGATGAGGTCTGCCTCCTCTAGAAAATCCTCCTTGGACAGAATGTCAAGTGTGGATATGAACATTTATTTGTTGACATTTTCAAAATGCCAATCCTGACCCCCTGAAATGCAAAGACACTTGTTTCTTTTCTTTTTAAAATTTCTTTTGGAGTCAAGTTCACATCATTGCCACCTTCGCTCCCAATTTAGACATCTTTCTTCTAAGCTGACTGGCTCCTCAGCAGACAAAAAAAAAAAAAAAAAAAAAAAAAAAAAGCCATTGCCCTCTGGGAGAGTTGGGTCTTTGATGTCAAGGGGACCGCAGGATGTCGGAATTCTTTCTCCCAGAACTGTGGCTCACACAAATATTTACCGGGTGGTTGGCTTCGCTTGGTTGGGTTCAGGGAAATATTTGCCTAGGCTGAACCAGAGGCCTAAAGAAGGAGGTATCCACAGTCCGAAGAAAACTCTTGGCCCGCGTGCTGGTACAGGCTGTTCCATTCCGCTGTTATGTAAGCACTGGGAGCGACAGGAGGCTGGCGTCATCCACTCGGCGTAGGAAGGCGCAGCAGCTGCCGGGCCCCACGATGACCATGATCCTGACCACTCCCCACCAGGGACAGGACACTCTATGAGATGGCACCATGAGGCCAGATACAGAATCCTTCTTTAAAAGTAGCATTTGTATGTTTCCATGAATACCTTAAACTTTGTTTTCCCACCGCCTATCAGGGCTTTCTGTTAAAGAAACAACAGGTAAGCCTGGCGTGGTGCCATGCCCCTGTAATCCCAGCTACCTGGGAGGCTGAGGCAGGAGAATCGCTTGAACCTGGGAGGCAGAGGCTGCAGTGAGCCGAGATCAAGCCACTGTGCTCCAGCCTGAGCGACAGAGCAAGACAAGACAAGAGAGAAGAGGGGAGGGGGAGGCGAGGGGGAGGGGAGAGGAGGGGACAACAGCGAGAGATTTATATTGAAGCATACGATGCCTACCAAAAAAGTGGGCACAAGGATGCAGCTCTATGAAGTGTCTCAAATAGAACAAACCTGTAAAACAGAATAACCAGCCCCAGAATTCCCCTCATGCCCTCGTTGCTTACCCTCCCCTGAAAAGAATCCACTATCCTGCCTTTTAACATCAGAGATTGCTTTTACCCAACGGGGAGAGTTTAAGGTCGTGGATGTGCCTCCACAGTGACAGTGTATGATTTAACCTTTGGGGAAGTGATTGAGACAGTTCCCGACACGGGACCCTGGGTCCTGCGTGAAGGTGACATTTAGGATATGGAAGCAGAACGACTTTGGTGTGGATGACCCACTCTGGCACCCGTGAGCTGTTGGGCCAGTCACTTCCCTGAGCCTGAGCCTCTCTCTAAATGGGGATAATACTCCTGCCTTGCAGGATTCCGGGAGGTGTGGGAAGCACTTGACGGAGATCTATTCCCTAACATCAGCGCCCTTCCGACGCGGACTAGCCGGGACCCGCTGTCCTTCTGCGGCACCATTGTTTTAGAGCTTATGATTCCCCACATCTCATGCCAGCGTCCTCCTGAGCCGAATGTCAACTCTGTTGACCTCACAAATGACACACTCTCCAAAGCCTCCGTCTCTGGCACATCCGCTGCCCAGTGCGCTCTCCCTGGTCCATTCAGACACCTCCCTAGGTAGCAGCTCTTCCCACACAGAGCCCCAGGCTTCTCGCCTGCCTGCCTTGGGACTAAGGACATGGGATCGTGTTCATTCTTCACCGCCTTCACCTTGCAGATGAGGAAACTGAGGCTCACAAAGGGGAGGGGGCTAGCCCAGGGTCATGCAGCATTGGCGTGGCTGGAGCCAAAGCCCTGACTCTCACCCTCATCACCGCCACCTGCCCCTTATTATCGCAGATCAGGTGCTCTCCCCTCGCACCTTCCACCAGCACTGTCCAAACCCCTGTCTGTGTGGCAGAGGGGGAATACCACAGTCCGTTCCATAGCAAGAGACAGCAGGAGCCAAATTAAACTTCAACAAAGACTTATATATAACAAACAGGGGCATTTATTATTGAATAGGTAATGCACATATGGTTAAAAATATTTTAAGTGTGAAAATATTTAGTGAGAATTCTCCCCCCCTCCTCCCCTATATCTACCTGGTTCTCTCCTCCACTAGGTAACTCCTCTTCTTAATTTCTTGAACATTCCACTGGTGTTTTAAATGTCTGCACAGGCAAAATCAGGTATCTATGCTTCCTCTTCATTTTTCATACATGGTAACATGCTCTCTTCTTTACCTTTTACAGTTAACAACACACCTTAGAGAACTGTATACATCAGTACAAAAACAGCTTTCTCATTCTTTTTCATGGCTGTGTAATACTCCATTGTATATGTATATTATAAATTTTAACAACTTTATTGAAATATAATCCATATGCATAAAATTCAACCATTTAAAGTATACATTCAATGCTTTTTGTATATTCACAGATTGTGGGCAGCCAGCACACAATTTTAGAATAGTTTTATTACCCCCCAATAATGCTATACCCTTAGTTATCACCCCCCAATCCCTCCCCCTAGTCAATCATTAATCTACTTTCTGTCTTTGTAGATTTGCCTATTCTTGGCATTTCATGTAAATGAAATCCTACAATATGCAGTCCTCTGTGACTGACTTCTTTTATTTAGCAAATGTTTTCAGGGTTCATCCATGTTATAGCATATATCGGTACCACATTTCTGTTTATTGATGAATAACATTCCATTGTATGGATAAACCACATTTTATTTATTCATTCATCAGTCGATGGACATTTGAGTTGTTTACATTTTTTGCTATTACAGATAATGCTGCTTTGAACATGTGTGTTCAGGTTTTTGTGTGAACTTATGATTTTATTTCCTCCGGGAAGATATCCAGGAGTGGAACTGCTGGATCATATGGCTTATTTTACAGCTTACTTACCCAGAACTCCATTAACAGGAACTTCATCAAATTGTATCTTAAAAACCAGCAACCATCACAAACATGGCAGGTTAAAGTCCTAGAGTGAGGACTGGGGGAAAATGGAGCTGGAAACAATGGTTGGATTATTGAACTTGCTAGTCTTCCAACTTTTCCTTCCCTGCTCCTGGGGAAACTTTACTCCCAGACACTTATTCTAGCACTTTCCAATTAAGCCTACCTCAACTCCAGTGGGGTCTGTGACTCTGGGAAGGAGAAGAGCCATTTCTCACCACCTGGCACAGGAACCCACTGCCCACTGACTGCCCAAGGCCCCTCAGTGTGTCACCCTGGGGGTGGCACTCCCTTCCTGTCTGGGTTTCCTCATCTGGGAGACTGTCCAGAGGAAGCTGGTGACTCTTGACCATGGCCTTTCCTGGCCCTATGATGACAGATCTCTGCCACACCTGGCCATCTGCCACACCTGCAACAGGTGCACAACACAGGATAATTCAATAGCCATCCAAGGTCTAAGCTGAGAGCCACCTCAAGGAGAGCTTCTGGCCACCTCAGCTCACGATGGGACCTGGGAGAGCTGGAGATTCTTTAGTACAAGCACGTTTTAAAAAATTGTTTTGATTGAGAACTTCTTAACAAGTCCAAGCTGGGAAGTGCTTTCTGTTCTGATGCAGCAGAAGACAGAGCGAATTGGATCCTCTGACTAATTGCATGAGAGCGAAGTCATCCGCTTACTAAGTTTCTGCTTGGTGCTGCCCTAAGATTATTGGGGGATCATATTACTCCCCGCTCAGGAAACTGAGTGCAGCCCAGCTGCAGTAGGACTGATCCTTCCCTAGGAGAAGGAATTCTCCTTTCACCATCTTCCCCTTCTGTACACGGCAGCTGCTTGAATTTGCCCCTCCAAGAGTCAAGGACAAGACCACCCCATGGAATGTGAGTACTCAGCTATAATGCAAGGATTGGTGGTTTGAGGTTTACTTACATATTTCACGTCATTAAATTACAAGTGCAAAATGACATGGAGGGAGAGTTTTCTCTCTTCTACAGGATATGTTGGTCCAAAGGTAAAATGTAATGTATTGCAATAATTAATATAGTGAGTTTCTTTCATGTGGAAAATGGATTGGTTTTTATAACTTAATGTTCTGTATGCAGTTCTTAGTTGGGAATATTTTATATGTACTTGAATATATTCCATTGTTCTATGACAATTTCCAGAAAGTTATATGAGTTAATACATGAGTTCCAAGTTTCAATAAGTTCTCTTTCCCTAATATAAGGACACTGTTTTCTTGTTGGGTTGATTTGCTGTCAGTTATTGTAATAATTACGGGAAATTTTTGCCTTCCTTACTTTAATATCTCAAACCATTCACCAAACAATGGTGTAAAATTTATGCTCTCAATTTATGTTGTTTCTTGAGAGTGACTCATTTTACATAATTAAATCTGTTCACTGTCCTGGGCTTTGTCACATGTCGTTTGAAAAGTAATTTTTAAATAATTTCTTCCTTCATGTAAAAGTAATAAGCTCATTCACTCATTCTGGTAACTAACTATAATTAAAAAAAAAATACTGACTTCGCTGAGTCTTGCATTAGCAAAATGAATTAGCAGAAAACAAACACATAATTATCAAACGGGAAGCATTTTGGAACACCTTGAGTCTAGCCAGTGGGCTAGGAGATTGATCCTATGATGTGTTTTTAAATACATCTGTGTTCACATAGAGCAAGAAACAGGGGTCTGAACCAGCAAAGCCCCACTGGGAAGCATTTCACAGGATTGCACCCTACACCCTTGGTTTTCATTGTTTCATTTTCTCCACTGCCTCTCCAAGTACAGAAAACAGTTTTGAATTAAACAGCAATTGAGATCTTAATCGACTGGTCTTACAAGGGCACACAACGTCTTTACCCAGGGGCACTTCACCAAGGAGACCAGAAAAGTATCAACTTGTACACTCTTTCTTTTTAAAAATAAGTACACGCGGTACCAAGTGCACAAAAGGGCATGCGGTGAAAAATGCATCCTCTTCCCCCAGGTCTCTTCCCCAGAGATAACTGCAAATACTAATTTCTTATGCATTCTTTCAGAGATGTTCTATACATACAAAAACTACAAGCAAGTAACATATAACTTCCCCCTTTTTTACAAGTGGTGTTGCATAGCATATCACGATTGGCTTGTTTTTTTCACTTACTAACATTTAGTATCATAAAAAAAACTCCTTATTACTTTTTATGACTGCATAGCATTCCACTGTGCAGAGGTTCCTAAATGAATTTCCCCATTCCTCAGTTGCTGCTATTCAAGCTGCTTCCAAGCAGTCGTCATCACAAGCAGGTCTGCGAAGACTAACCTTCAGCATATATTGTTTCTAGATGTTCTAGAGCATCTTTAGGATAGATTCCTAGAGATAGAATTGCTGGGTCAAGGTAAGTGCATTTGTAATGCTCCTAGATCTTGTCTGTGTGCCTCCATGTTGGTTGTATGAATTTACCAGCAATAATACAAGGGCCTGCTTATCCTGCAGACATATCCACATAGCTTATTCTGAAACATCATGAATTTGCAAACTCGACAGGTAGCAAAATGTTATCTAGTTGTCATAATTTTGTGGTTTTCTTATATGAGTGATATTGTGAAACTCTTCTTATGTTGAACGTTCATTTTTTCCCTATGAACTATTTGTCCATATCTTTTGCACACTTTTCTACTGCAGTTTTGAACTTTTTCTTACAGAACCGAAGGCTATTTAGAAAATCAGTGATATAGATGGCTCTTTGTCATCTACCTCATGGCTTTATGGTATGAAATAGCTTAAATTTTTTTATGTAGTTGAACTTAATTTCTATTTCATCCTTTATGCTTCTGAAGTTTTATTATGCTTAAAAAGGACATTCCACTCTGAAGTGATCAAGAAAAAATCTGCCATGCTGTATTCTAGTACTATAAATTGTTTCACTTTTTATGTTAAAATATTTGATTTATCTGGACTGTGTTTTTCAATCTGGACCTACTTATCAGGTTATATGGTGGAGGGATGAGTATCTAATGCTATTTCCACCAAAGCTACATATTGAATAATTCATTTTTTCCCTAGCAATCAGAAATGCTCCTTTATTAGGTAGCTACCAAATTCTAAGTCTTATTGATGCTGTTTTTATTCTGTTCCATTGGTCTGCTTGCCTGTGTTTTCAGCATCACACTGTTTTAGCTGTTGTAGCTGTTTATTTTTATTTTTATTTTTTAGGATGGAGTCTTGCTCTGTCACCCAGGCTCAAGTGCAGTGGTGCGATCTTGGATCACTGCAACCTCTGCCTCCTGGTCTCAAGCACTTCTCCTGCCTCAGCCTCCCAAGTAGCTGAAATTACAGGCATGCACCACCACACCCACTTAATTTTTGTATTTTTAGTAGAGATGGGGTTTTGCTGGCCAAGCTGGTCTCGAACTCCTGACCTGAGGTGATCACCTGCCTCAGCCTCCCAAAGTGGTGGGATTAAGGTGTGAGTTGCTGCTCCTGGCGCTGTTGTTGTTTCATAGGGAGAGTTGTATCTGGTTCTGAAGAATCCCCAACCCACACACTCTACAAAGTCCAGCAAGGCCCAGCTGGGCTGTGTGCATATAAAGCATTCACTTATTGAAAAAAATGTAAATTAGTTTTTCTGGCTGGCTAATTTAAAATTTGTGGCTAGGCTAATTCATTAATCATTCTTTTTTATTCAGATTTTTTTCTAATTATTTTTGACAGTTGATTTTTCTTTTCTCTTTCTTTTATTTATTTATTTCTTTTTTACAGGGTCCCATGCTGGAATGTAGTAGTGTGAACAGTTCACTGCAGCCTTAACCACCTGGGCTCAAGCAATCCGCCGGCCTCAGCCTCCTGAGCACTTGGGACCACAGGCTTGCACCACCATACCTGGCTATTTTTTTTATTTATTGTAGAGACAGGGTCTTGTTGCATTGTCCAGGCTGGTCTCAACCTCCTGGGTGCAAGCGATCTTCCCACCTAAGCCTCCCAAAGTGCTGGGATTACATGCATGAGACAACAGTTGCTTTTTCTAAATGAATAGTCTGTCGATTTCACAAAGAAATTCTATTGATATTTTTATTGCTATTATGTTTGTTGTATAGATTATTTGAGGGCTAACTGACATCTTCATGATGCTGTGTCTCCTATCCAAGAACTTAGTGTTTTTCTAGGCATAGTGGCTCATGCCTGGAATCCCAGTGCTTGGGAGGCTAAGGTGAGAGGCGCTCTTGAGACCAGGAATTCAAGTCCAGCCTGGGCAACATGGCGAGACTCAATCTCTACAAAAAAAAAAAAAAAGAAAGAAAGAAAGAAAGAAAGAAAGAAAGAAAGAAAGAAAGAAAAACTAGCCAGGCATGGTGCCACATGTCTATAGTTCCAGCTATTTGGGAGGCTGAGGCAATAGGATCGATTGAGCTCAGGAGTCCGAGGCTGTAGTGAGCCATGATCATGCCACTGCACTCCAGCCTGGGTGACAGAGCGAGACTCTGTCTTTCCGAAAACAAACAAAAAGCATAGTGTTTTGGACTCTTTGGATTTTTAAAAATATATGGACATACCTGTTGTTACACTCCTGCTCATGCCTCAGAGAAGGGCTCTGAGCAGCGCCATGTCTGCATGACCATGAAGGCTCCAGTGTCCTTGGTGTGGCCAGGCGGCCCTCAGCCCAGGACGCTGGGTCTCATCTGGACCTCTCTGTTTCTCAGGGGCCAAGTGGACTCCTGAAGCCTCCAACCAGACCCAGGCCAGCATCCTCCTGGGGCTCCTGCCGGGTGACCACGCCGAGGGGAGGAACGCCACCAACTCCACCAGGGCCCTGAAGGTGCCAGATGGAACTAGTGCCGCCTGGTACATCCTCACCATCATCGGCATCTACGCGGTGATTTTCCTCTTCCGGCTGGCCAGCAACATCCTCAGAAAGAACGACAAGTCCTTGGAAGATGTTTATTACTCAAATCTGACCTCTGAACTCAAAATGAAAGGGCTCCAGGACAAGGTCGCCAAGTGCCCCACACTGATCATCAGCAACAGAGCCGTGCTGCAGCCCTGCCAGGCCCGCCTGGGGCCAAAGGGCGGGAGCAGCGGGCCCCAGACCGCAACCCCAGAGAGCCCCTGAGAGCCAAGGCCAGGAGGCCTTCCCCAGGGTGGCCGCAGACTTCTTGGAGGGGAGCAGCTTTGGGTTTATTCGGAGCCCTTGGGTAGGGCTGGGGTGCATCGCTGACTGGGGTGCCTCAGGCTGCCAGGTTGTGACCAGTGCCAACCACCAAGTTCCTTCTCAGGCTTCCAGGTGCTTGGAGAAGAGAGAGCCGAGCAGCGGCTTCTAGCCAGATTCATTCTTCCCTGGGAAAGCCTGTGCCGTGGAGAGCTGCACTGTTCCAGGGTTCTCAGAGGAATCCGAGTGACTCCTGGGGGCATGCAAGGCGGTGGCTCCTTGTCACGGGAAGAGTAAACTTGGATTAAAATTCAACCTCTGGGGAATCACGTAAACTGAGCAACTAGTTCTCACCTGGGACATCCGGGGGTTGGGGACAGATTTAAAAGGCTATTTTACTTGAAAGACTTCGGCTCGAACATAGGACCAAGGTTATTAATAACAGAAGTTGAAAATTATTCATTTTTATTAAAATAATTAGGTATGTCCAAAAAAAAAAAAAAAAAAAGCACTGGAGCCGGGTGTGGTGGCTTATGCCTGTAATCCCAGCACTTGCGGACCCTGAGGCAGTAGAATCACTTGAGCCCAGAAGATTGAGTCCAGCCTGGGCAACCCAGCAAGACCCCATTTCTACAAAATTGTTTTCTGTTTGTTTGTTTTTTGTTTTTTTATAGATGGAGTTTCACTCTTGTCACCCAGGCTGGAGTGCAGTGGCAGGATCTCGGCTCACTGCAACCTCTGCCTCCTGGGTTCAAGCAATTCTCCTGCCTCAGCCTCCTGAGTAGCTGGGACTATAGGCATGTGCCACTACACATGACTTTTTTGTTTTGTTTTGTTTTGTTTTGAGACTTTTCCTGCCTCCAAAAGGCATGTCCTCGCCTTGTGAGAGACAGTGGGTCTTGTGGGAGTAACAAGTGTCACCAGACGCCAGGCTGGAGTGCAGTGGCATGACCTCAGCTCACTGCAACCTCCGCCTCCCAGGTTCAAGCAATTCTCCTGCCTCAGCCTCCTGAGTAGCTGGGACTACAGGTGCGTGCCACCACACCCAGCTAATTTTTTTGTATTTTTAGGAGAGACGGGGTTTCAACATGTTGGCCAGGATGGTCTTGATCTCTTGACTCCATGATCCGCCCGCCTTGGCCTCCCAAAGTGCTGGGATTACAGGTGTGAGCCACCGCGCCTGGCCTTGTATTTTTGATTGAGACAGGGTTTCACCATTTTGGCCAATCTGGTCTTGAACTCCTGACCTCAGGCGATCCACCCACCTCAGCTTCCCAAAGTGCTAGGATTATAGGCGTGACCCACCGCTCCTGACCTCTACAAAAAAATTTTAAAACACGTTAGCTGGTCATGTGCCTGTGGCCTCATGAACTTGTGAGGCTGAGGTGGGAGGATTTCTTGAACCTGGGAAATTGAGGCTGCAATGAGCTGTGATCATGCCACTTCACTCAAGCTTGGGTAACAAAGCAAGACCTTGTCTTAAAAAAAAAGATTTTTTTTTAAAGCAAAAAGCATTAATTTTTGAGTCAGAAGAACCAAACTCTAGTCTGAGTTTGATTATCAACCACTCTGGTGTCCTTTTACGTGTAATTTCACTTCTCTAGGACTTAGTTTGATACAGACACAATGAGGCTAATGATGTCAGATCTGCCAATCTTACCAAGTAGATGAGATCTAATGAAACCATGCATGTGAATGTATTTTGAAAAGTGAAATAAGTATGTCAATATAAGCCTTGTTGTGGTGAGTGGCGATGGTGGTGACTGGTGGTGATAGGCGATGCTGATGGTTTTGGTGGTGGTGATGGTTTATGTTGATGATGGTGTTGGTGTTGGTGATGTTATTGGTGGCAGTTATGATGCTGATGATGGTGGTGTAGGTGGTGGTGCTTGATGTTGGTGTTGATGGTGGTGGTGGTGATGCGATTCTGAAACAGGAAATGACTAATTCATTGACAATTAGTCTCTAAGCAATGGTTGTATTGTCTTGTTCCACAAGAGAATTCTGTCTACATATCAGTTGATGACTTCAATCTCATTGAATCCCTGAGATTTTCCATGTAGACACTTTTAGATTTCCTTATATTAGATATCATATGCTTCACTCAAATGTTCACTCAACAGTACAGATACCTGTTACTTATATACTTTTCTTTGTCTAAAAAAGAAATAAGATCTTATCTAGATGACTGATTAACTTAGGGAGATTCTGATTAACAGAATTTCTACAAGTGGCTTTCTGCAGGCAAAGAGAAGATTATGTTTTGTATATAAATTTGTATATAAACTAGATAAACAATTTATATGAAGTTCATCTAGTTCAGCTTTTGAAGATGTCCCTGGGGCTAGAGATAAAATATCTTTTTCCTGTCCATAGACAGTGGTCTGCAGTTCACCCCATGACCTCATGAAGGTCAGAATTAAACCTCAAGCTTTGTTTTTGGAGGTGAGATCTATTTCCAAATATTTATTTTTCTCTACATGTTTCCCACATCATCAGTGCCATCGTCATCATTATCCTACAGGTTGAAAACAGAAGCGTTCGTTTATCTGTATAATTTATACAGGCTTTATGCATACGTTTGAGATGCGTACAGGGCAGGACAAAATAGAAGACACAGAGGCAGACAAAAATGTCATCCACAGTCATAGGACAGCAGAATGCATTCAAATGGGGCGGAATGGCCAGAACGTGGGTGAATCTGAAGATAGGAAGAGTGAATTGGCACAATCGCCCCTTGGTGGTGGTCTCTGCAGGATGCAGGTCCCCTTCTCTAATGCAGCTGTCCCAGATTTTCAACTGAGGACCCATATAGCTCTAGGGAGGTTGAAGCTACCCCCAGTTCAAGAATTGGAGTAAGTTTCGACCTGAGAAAGCTAACTGAAAATAATTTTTGAAAAAAAAAATAATAAATTCTTAAGAAGTGGGAATAGGAGGCCTGGATTGACCCAGTTGTTGCATCCATGTCCCGGCCTCACTGCTTGGGACCGGGATGGACACCTGGCCTAAGCAAAACAACACAATAAGAAGGACCAGAAGAACTTTAATGGGAAATTCTGGAACAAAAAACCTTTCTCTTGCTCTGTATGGTGCTAAAAGCAGATCTGAGCCTGGAATTGTTAAGAGAGTCGGATCCTGATCCAGACTCCAAGGGAGGGTTCTTGGATCTTGCACAAGAAAGAATTCAGGGCGAGTCTAAAGTAAAGTGAAAGCAAGTTTATTAAGAAAGTAAAGAAACAAAAGATGGCTACTCCATAGGCGGAGCAGCAGCACAGGCTGCCTGACTGAGTACGCTATGATTATTTCTTGATTATATACTAAACAAGGGGTGGATTATTCATGAACACTCCAGGAAAGGGGCAGGGATTTCTCAGAACTGAGAACTCAGAACCCTCAATTCTTTTAGACCACATAAGGTCTCCTTTAAGACCATATAGGGTAACTTGTGGACATTGCCATGGCATTTGTAAACTGTCATGGCGCCAGTAGAAGTGTCTTTTACCACACTAATGTATCACAGTTAGCATATAAGGGGCAGTGAGGATGACCAGAGGTCACGTTTATCACCATCTTGGTGTTGATGGGTTTTGGCTGGCTCCTTTATTGCATCCTGTTTTATCAACAGCATCTTTGTGACCTGTATCTTGTGATGCCAGTCCTGCTGGCCTCCGGTCTCACCCTGTGACTAAGAATGCCTGCTCTCCTGGAATGCAGCCCAGCAAGCCTCATCCTCATTTTACACAGCCGCTAATCAAAGAGTTGCTCTGGTTCGAGCGCCTCGGACAGGATTGCTGGATCCATTTTGCCACCATGAAGAAAGCCAACTTGAGGGCAAAAATAAAATAAAATAAAATAAAACAGCATCTAGAGGGGAACAGAACAAAGAAATTACAGAGACCAGAGCCTGGACCAACTGGACCCAGAGCCTTCATTTACCACTGGAGTTTTTCAGTTTGTGAACCAATGAGTTCCTTTTATTAAGTCTGTTGGAGCTAGGCTTTTGTACCTCACAACCAATAATATCCTAAAAGATACCATTGGATAAATTATTTCCTGAAGGAAGTGGGCCCTGGAGTCAAATTTGAAAAGAGAAGATGTGTGATGTGCTGTGTGGGAAGCTGGCATCATTTTTCTTTCACCAAGATTTTTATACTTATAGGCTTTATATTTATAGGGAAAAAAACATTCTGTGCACTCCTTCAGCTCAATCATTTGTAAGACTTCTCATTGCTTGGCCTCTCAAAGAGTATACAGTGAGACTCTGTACCATTTAATCCTTACCCCTGACTGTCAGTAGACTGCCATGGAAACTCCAAGGATGCCTGTTCTGTTAGACATGTGATCAGAGACTAGCTCCAAAGGTACCTCCTAAGGAGCAAAAGCCACTGTCTTCCTGTTGTTGGCCAGACACAGGTGCATGAACTCCAAGGACACCTTCCTAGGCCACCTCTCTGCTGCCTGATCTAAAATCACTCCCTTTCTGGGAGCTGGTCTGCAAGTCTGCCTTGGAGATGTGTTGGATGGGAACCAGGGCTGTATTGGTTCCATTGTGAGCAATACCAGTGGGAAATGATCCCAAGTAGTATGGGTATTTTGCATAAAATGCCTGAAATCTGACATGCTCAGGGTCAGGACCATAAACCACTGTCTTGACGAACCTCATGTACATGGACTAATTGGAAAGGTGTGGGCACCTTGGCGTTAGTGTTCAACCAGAGAGTGGAAAAGAGATTTGCACCTGCCACCGGTCCCGATGGAGACAGTGACAGAACACACAGATTCTTAACATTCCAGACACCTACTGTCTTTGTCCCTGTGTAGATTTCCCCTAAGATTTAGGGGATCAGGTCAGAAAAAGCCATTCCTCTGAAATGGAAATTATTTAAATTCAATAAGGAAGCCATCCAGGAATGACTTCCTCTGGGAATCTGTGGCTGACGGTACCAGGGTTTGTAACAAACCAAATCAAGGTAACTAGAGCTTCCCTGGGTGATTGTAATCCATCTCTTCTAAATAAAACTCGCATTGACTTGGTTGCATTATGATTTGATTTTCTTGTGTGATGTACTCATCACATTTTTTAAAAGAAGGATTTAAAGAAAAAATTCAGGGACTAAACATTTGTTGGTATTTATGCATCTCTTCCTGGAGTCACAGGTGGGCTCTGATTCTCATAACCGATCTCTTTGACTCCTACTGGAGCAGAAGAATGCCAGCTCATTCTTCAAATACAGTTAGTGTTCTGTTGGCAATTACAGAAAACAGCTCTACCTAGCTCATGCGTGTGTGTGTGTGTGTGTGTGTGTGTGTGTGTGTGTGATTTGGGGGAAGGTAACTGAGGTAGCTCACAGAATCGAAAGCACAGCAGCTCCTCCCAGCCTCAGGAGACGGGTTAGTCTGCCTTGAGGTCCTCACTTGGCTTCAGCTGGAGAACGTTCTCA